ACTATAAACATGAAAACCCCACTTAGATACACGCACTTGTTTATTTTTATGCAGAGGTAAGGGCAAAGTTGAAAAGGTGCAGTCAGATAATGTGATGTTCAGGACAGGTTTTGCCACTGGTGTAATTAATAGTCACTTTGAAAATTGTCTCCATGACATTGTACCTTAAAGTATAAATCTGGACAAAATCCAAATGCTTCATAAAAATCAAATTGCCATATCATTAGGGAGCTCCATATTTCTCATGTACTTGTCTTTATTACTGTAGCACTTCTCCGTCCCGTATCCCCTCATCAGCATGGCAGAACCTGGTAACCCACCTGAGGCATACAGTATCAACTGCCTTGGATAGGCAATGTGCCCTCTCCCAGGCTTGGGCAATCCAGCCACGAAAGACCCAGAGCCCCGTGTGCTCACTGAATATATCCAGTTACCCAGCATGCCTTAGAGCCCCTCACTCTGGGATAGGCTGAGGCTGTATTATTATTCATGCTGCCATATGCTTAGCTCCCCACCTATCATCCAGAAACTTCTGCAGTCTCCTGGACACAAGAAGCTAGGCAGACTAGCAGCACTTGAGTACACAGAGCAGACCTCACTAGATGATCCCAGCACACTCAGTACAGTGAGCTAACTATACTTTTACCTAGCAACAATTAGAGTCACACTGCCTATTGAGTGACAACTAAAATCTAATTCTATCTATCCAAGCACCTACCTAGGAGGGTGCTACATTGGTGTTCATACCAGGTGATCCTTCTAGAGAAAGTGTTGATGGTTCGCTTCCTGCACAAGGATGACAATACATTGCCCGTAGAAATAGCCTTGTCACTATCTTTGTCTATCTGGAATCTCTGCTCCTACATCGGTCCAATCATGGCCAGCCCAACTGGTCCTTTGTAGTCTAGGACCTGATTACGACCTCACTGAAAATTACATTTTGGTGTTTTCCCTCTGCCCACAGCCCCTGATATGCTATGCTATGACCACAAGATGTTGTTATGCTCACAATACAATTTAATGCTTGTAACATGTAAATTTATTTAAACTGAAGAGTGTCAAGATGAGCAACTCTAATCCCATGTCAATGGGCTGCTTCAGGAGCCAGGTGACCAGAGAGAAGCCTCTCAAAAATTAGGCACCAGCTCTTTTTTGGAAGGATGGCTAACTGGCTACTGTAATTTGTCCAACTCTGCAATAATAGTTCATAAGAGACCATAAAACCCACCATGTGATGTAGTTTTATATGCAACATTTAAAATTAGTTCCACAACAATTCACAATGTAATTTTGTTCATTGTTCACCACACAGTAGAATCCATAAGAGCAAAGCTTCTCATACCTGTAGAATGAACAGAGATCTGATTCTGTATAACAGTTTAACCATCTAACTGATGAAGCAAGCCTACTAACTCTAGAGGTAAATATTGTATGCAGCAAAGTCATTCCACCTGCTGGCAATTGATCCCCACAATTGAGCTTGAAGGTCCAGTGAGGAACAAGTTAATTATCCCATGAAGGAAGGAACCACTGGGATATAGAAGGTGATTGATGCTACTATTGATCGGAGGATTAACAGAGAATGGATCAGTCTGAGAGGATCTAATGTCTGCTGGTATTGACACTGGAGATACAGGAAAACCAAGTTAAATGAGGGGTTCAAAAAGGAGACACTGCAAGACAGAGAACGTAGCTAAGTGGGGAAAGAGATAGAGAGAAAAGGGCACAGAGATAGCAAAGGGCAAATATTGTGAAAACCAGAGACAAGCAAAGTGATGGTCTACATCCACAAACAACAGAAAGTGGCATGTATCATACCAATACAATCAGCAATGCCTTAAGTAAGGTTGCTGGATAATGTATATAAAATGGCAGATGCTAAGGCAGGCCAAAGATGATGCAAGTTTATCTCCTGCAACCACAGGGTTCTCCAATCAGCACAGTCACTGGTGGTTGGGGAATCCCTCCCATGGAGCTATTGTGTTCTCCTGGCTATAGCCACTGGCAACGATCACATGTACAAATCTGAATTGTACCCAAGTTGATCCATTCATGGATTGAATCTCGGCCGGTCCCTGCTGAACCAGCCAAGATTCAAACTATCTATGGCTGGCTAAAGAGTCAAATAGAAGTTGACATATCATGTAGGTTAAACCTGATCATGAAACTCAGGGAAGAAAAGTACAGCTAATTATAAATAAGCAGACACTCTATAAAAACAGGTATACAAAATTAAAGTGGTCCCAAAGGCAATAAAGTAAAAAACCTTCAGTTCACAGGATCTCCCCCTCCCAAATACTTACCCGAGGAGCCCACTCCAGCCCTGTGCAGCAACTCTCTCTACTCTCTCTCTCCTCACAGGACAGAGAAGCAGGATCTACTGGCTACTGCTGCTGTCAATCAAATCCTGTGAGGGAGTGAGTGAGTGAGTGGGCAGGGCCGAGCTTCACTGTCTGTGTCTACGCAGGGAGCGCGGCTTGGCATGGAGCCTGAACGAATTCCCCCATAGCAAGCAGCTTCCTATGGGGGCACTTTCCATAGAGGAGGACCCAGGAGGGCTGGCGGGGGACCCCAGATGAGAAGTATCAGGGCTGCACTCTGCAAAACCTTTGCATAGAATGGGTAAGTATGACGTTTATTATTTTAAAAAAAATGTGTTTTAGAATTACTTTAAAGTTAACATTTTAGCTGTGGCACATTACTTTTATTATATATAATAATGAACATGAAACAACACCTTTTCCAGTTTTTACTGTCAGTATTGAAGCTAGCAATCCTGAAAAATATTTTGCAAAAGGCGATAGACACTTAACAATAAAAGACACACAACTCTTGTTTCCCCTAAAGTAATAGTTCTGTTTCCTTTGCTAGTTTTTGGGCCTGTCATGTTGGAAACTACCTTACTTCAACAGCTCATAAATATATAATTATGATCTCCTTCTGTTTCATTGCCGTCATTTGTTTGTAACTTTCCCCTGTAATCTTGCTTTCATTTATATCTGATAGCAATGTGTTCAGTGCAGCTTTATGTATGCATGGAATTTGAGAACAAATCTATTTACACCATTTTTTCTTGTCTATTTAGCTATTTTAATGCTTGGAGGCTAAGAGTGTCTGGAGATTGGAGGCTTTTGAGCTAAAGGAAAAAAAAACAAACACCAGGTAACTAGATAAACACAGCATAGGGTACAACAAATAGCTAGTGAGAGATAACAAACTCAAGTACCATTTGTACCTAATCATATAGCATAATGCAAATTCAGGAAAAATGCAACATTGTACTCTTTCCCTCTCCCCTGCATGATAAGGATCTGGATACTTACCTTTTTTTAGGCTCCATTGGGTGGTTTGGGTGGTCATTCTGTGCGTTATTCTAGCGATGCCGATAGGGCAGCTCATTCACACGACAAATGCACCAAAGGAGCTCCTGCACATTTTTGGGCAGAGAGCTTAACATGTTTGTTTACTGTGCTTTTTGGTACATTTTTCACGCGTTTTGTCGTGTGACGAAATGCATGTCTGCTATAGCTGAGTATGCTGCAAGTGGATCACGTATTTTGGTTTGCTTTTTTGTGTTTCCAGGGACATGTATTCCTTGGATGTAGAGGTGTGAATGGTCTGGTCATGTGATTTTGCAGCTTCAGTTCCCTTATGCCAGTTAGCAGCCGCTGCAGGGAAGTGGAGGGGGGCGCTATCAATGGCTGGGCCATGGGAACCTATTGGTGAGGTTATAGCTCTGGGAATTCACAGCCATTGTCAACCGCTCTCTCTCACAGGAAAGCCAGAGCTGCTGAATCACATGACTGGACCAGATTAAAAAACAGTTTACAGATCTTTGTTTTTAAGAACAGTTAGAATTAGCCTTTACTTCCAGATTAACTTTCATGGTGGTATGTTGTCTATCAGGGTGATGTAACAGAGTAGCAATTGTAGGCACCTTGTTTCTAGGGGTGTTGGGTACTGGCATTGCATATTAGCCACTAAATCAAACTATATTAAATGATTTCTTCAATTCCTCATTTCTGCAGTTCTTCATGGTCAGTTAGATGACTCCCCCAGATAGCTATAAAGCCCACTGGAATCAGTGTTTACATATCTGAAAGGCAGAATTTGCACATTGCCCCAGTAACCTCTGGAGTAAGGGTCTCCAAACTTTTCTGTATGAGGGTGGCCACAATGTATTGATTACAAATATTTTCAGGCCGAAAAAAAGAGTTTCACGCTTACATTAGGGTTCTCGTTAGATACCCCTTTACATCAGGATCACCATCAGAGTCCCCTTTATATATCAGAATCTCCTTTACATCAGGGTCCCCATTACACCCCCCCCCCCATTTTGTCAGGGTCCACATCAAAATCCCCCCTTACATCAGGGTCCCTATCAAAATACCCCTTTATAGTCCGGGTGCAGGTTGGGGAGGGTTCACCTTAATCCTCACCTCAATCTGTGCACATTGAGGGTATGCCACTGACCCTAGCTGCAGACTGGATAAAATCTTGCATGGGGCCAGATATGGTCTGAGGGTCGTAGTCTGGAGACCCCTACTCTAGAGGAACCCCTATGGTTCCACAGAACGCTGGTTGAGAGTGACTGCTCAAACCACAAGACCAGTATATCACTGCAATGCTGCAGATGCATACTAATAATTCTTACTTTGACCAAAATACAAGCTGATACCTCATCCTGTTAGGAGGAGTGGATGCAGACTCCTATTTTCTGGGGGTGTTGGGTATTGGGATTGCATATTAGCCACTAAACCAGTGATGGCGAACCTTTTTGAGCCCGAGTGCCCAAACTGCAACCCAAAACCAACTTATTTCTTTCAAAGTGCCAACACTGCAATGAAACCTGAATATCGAGCTTTTGGTTTAGAAAAAAACAACTCGTACAGTAGTGCAAACTAATTAACAGTACAGGGATGACCAGAGACTGCGGACAGGGATACAGGGCGGACAGTACATGACCAGAGACTGCGGACACAGTACAGGGATGACCAGAGACTGCAGACACAGTACAGGGATGACCAGAGACTGCGGACACAGTACAGGGATGACCAGAGACTGCGGACAGTACAGGGATGACCAGAGACTGCAGACACAGTACAGGGATGACCAGAGACTGCAGACACAGTACAGGGATGACCAGAGACTGCGGACACAGTACAGGGATGACCAGAGACTGCGGACAGTACAGGGATGACCAGAGACTGCGGACAGTACAGGGATGACCAGAGACTGCGGACACAGTACAGGGATGACCAGAGACTGCGGACAGTACAGGGATGACCAGAGACTGCGGACAGTACAGGAGATGACCAGAGACTGCGGAAAGCACAGGGATGACCAGAGACTGCGGACAGAACAGGGATGACCAGAGACTGCAGACAGTACAGGGATGACCAGAGACTGCGGACACAGTACAGGGATGACCAGAGACTGCGGACAGTACACATGACTGCTGACCTTTGGGGAGGGAGGGGGAGCGGGTACCTGAATTTGACAGGTACCCGCTCTTACTTCCGCAGAGTTTTTTTTTTTATCTTACCTGTTCCTTTATCCAGCCGCGCGCTGTCTTCCCGGCTTCTGTAGTGTGGGCGCTCGTCGGACAGCCGGATGCCCAGTGCGCATGCGCGAGAAGCGCTGCGCTTTGTGATTGTCATATATTGTAACCTTTTTGTGATAAAAAAATAAAAAACTCTAATTAAACCTTACAGTGTCATATGTAATCAAAAAAACTTTAAATTGTCCAAAAGAAAAAAGAAAAAGTCCAATGAAAAATCCAGTGTCCAAACAAAGAAAGTTCCAGATTTCCAAACTTTATCATCCAATCGGAAGGAATCCTATTTCATCCAGTGATACCTCAAAAAAAATATATAGATACTCTAGTGCATTACCTTTATATAAAAAAATATATTCACTCTGTGCAAAACACAACCTAAGAAAATGTGCAAAACTCTTTGTTGAATTAGTTATTATATATAGTTCACATAAAAAATAAACTGTGACCACTCCGTGAACACTGCAACACTGTGCATCCACCAACACCAATAGTATTACATACTATTACCCTCTGTATATATATAATCAGCATTCAATCAGAGATCTTCTATTTCCTCTCCAAAGATATTTTCCAAGGTCCTCAAAAGACAAGAAGGGTCTCAAAACTCATCTCCAAAGTATAGGGAAAGATTTTTAATAGCCACTTACATTAAAATTCCACATTTCCAGCTCCAAACATGGCTCCTATGCGAGTTCTACCAAACAAATGCAGTAAGCCATGTGTGAATAACCAAAAAAATGGCGCGGCGACACTTCCGGTCTGCGTACGTGCGTCCTGACGTCACACCCTTAAGGGTGTGACGTCAGGACGCACGTACGCAGACCGGAAGTGTCGCCGCGGCCATTTTTTTGGTTATTCACACATGGCTTACTGCATTTGTTTGGTAGAACTCGCATAGGAGCCATGTTGGGAGCTGGAAATGTGGAATTTTAATGTAAGTGGCTATTAAAAATCTTTCCCTATACTTTGGAGATGAGTCTTGAGACCCTTCTTGTCTTTTGAGGACCTTGGAAAATATCTTTGGAGAGGAAATAGAAGATCTCTGATTGAATGCTGATTATATATATACAGAGGGTAATAGTATGTAATACTATTGGTGTTGGTGGATGCACAGTGTTGCAGTGTTCACGGAGTGGTCACAGTTTATTTTTTATGTGCACTATATATAATAACTAATTCAACAAAGAGTTTTGCACATTTTCTTAGGTTGTGTTTTGCACAGAGTGAATATATTTTTATATAAAGGTAATGCACTAGAGTATCTATATATTTTTTTTGAGGTATCACTGGATGAAATAGGATTCCTTCCGATTGGATGATAAAGTTTGGAAATCTGGGACTTTCTTTGTTTGGACACTGGATTTTTCATTGGACTTTTTCTTTTTTCTTTTGGACAATTTAAAGTTTTTTTGATTACATATGACACTGTAAGGTTTATTTTAGAGTTTTTTATTTTTTTATCACAAAAAGGTTACAATATATGACTATTGCACTTTCTAGGGAGAAGGTATGACTTTTTGAGGAATTTGGGGTGGAGGAGGTTATACATTTATTTATTTGCGCTTTGTGATTGGTCCGGCGGCTTCTGGGATCTGTCATGTGTCCCAGGTACCGCCTTACCATTCACAAAGAGCACTACTTCTTGCGCATGCGCACTTGGGACCCGGCTGTCACGCACACTACAGAAGCCGGGAAGACAGCGCGCCGCTGGATAGAGGGACAGGTACGGTCCTACTGCAGAGCTGAGCGGCCGGCCCGGTATTCTGACACGGCGGCGGTGGAAATACCGGACCGGCCGCTCTATATTCGCTCCATAAGACGCACTGACATTTTCCCCCCTTTTTTGGGAGAAAAAAAGTGCGTCTTATGGAGCGAAAAATACGGTATTCTCCTGGCGTGCCCACAGATAAGGCTCGGCGTGCCGGCTGTGGCACGCGTGCCACGGGTTCGCCATCACTGCACTAAACCATACAGTATAAAATGATTTCTGTTGTTCCTAATTTTAAAACAACATATCCTGATTTTGAATCAGAGCAGGATTCTTCTTCAAGCACGATATGGGACATGACTGGGAAACACGATGCGCAGGATGTAAAGGATAGATGTGAGGAAAGCAGACTGACCACCCCATCTGGTCTATAAAGAATGAAGGAGGGGGAGATAGAAGAGCAACAGAGTGATGTAAATTATATGACTGTGTCCAGCCAGAGCTGTCACAGTATGTATCACTCAGCCTTAGGGCAAAAAGACGAAGAGAGCTGGAGAGGGTGCAGCAGGGATGAGGTAGAGAATAAGAAAGTAGGCGTGCAAGGCTCACACAGGATATTAACATTAAGAGCAGGTTAGGAAAAAAATAATCGAATACAGTAAGTAAAAGACAGAAATGCTTAATTTAACACTCCCCCTGATAATCAGGAACCATTGTCATTATTATATGTCCTTTCAAATTTTGGTTCCTCAGCGTGACCCTGTTTATTCAAATATTAACAATCAATGGCTAAATACCAGCTGTTATGTGCTCTCGGTGCATTTCATCCCGGTTGTTTCTTAATTGGAAGCTAAGTAAACTGAAAACATTATCTATTTATCTCAATTCTAGCTGCTTTGTAACTCGTCTCTTCAATTAAGCTCTTTTTCAGAATGAAACATGTCAGAGGGAGGAGTCTGGCGGCTGTCAAGACTTCATGAAACAATACATTTATTGAAATGGTGGAGATATCGGAGTATAGCTTTCAGTTTTGCAACTGACTATGCTTTGTAGCTTTTTCTGAATGAAATAAATATTGTCCATAGTTACTACTTTCCAGTAGAGCCACTTTTCACACAGTTTATTGTACTCTAAGCCAGACTTTCTCAACCTTTTTAATACCAAGGAACCCTTAACCACTTCAAGTCCGGACACTTTCACCCCCTACCAGTCCATGCCAATTTTCAGCTTTCAGCGCTGTTATACTTTGAATGACAATTGTGCGGTCACACAACACTGTACCCAAATTACATTTTTAGCATTTTTTTGAGCCAGATAAAACTTTCTTTTGGTGGTGTTTATTTACCACAGGAATTTCTTTTTCTTTTTGCTATATAAATTAAAAAGACCAAAATTTTTAAAAACAAGTGTTTTTCTTATAAAATTATAAATAATCTTTCTTCATAAATCTTGGCTAAAATGTATCCAGCTATGTTTTTGGTACAAACCCCTCCCCCACAATCAGTTTATAAAAAAAATTATAATGTGTCATGTCTTTTTTACATTTTTTTTTTTTATATTATTTTTTTTACATACTGTCACCCTAGCAGTACATTGTCACCATAGTGACACTATACCACTTGTGGGGGGTGATGAAGATTTTTTTTTTTTTTACACTGATTGCTTTTACAGCCATAAAGGCTGTAAAAGCAATCATTTCTCCTTCACTGAGAAACACTGCTAGAGCAGTTATTGGTCACAGCTTGTCACATGGTACAAGGCTGTTGTGAATAGCCTTGTACCATGTGACCTCTGTGATCATTCACAGAATTTACAAGTAGTAAGCAATGATGTCAGGAAGTGACATCTTGTTTACTACTGTTCATGTGATCACTGATTGGCCAATCAGTGATCACATGAATCGGGAACTCACACAGCAGTCCCTTACATCGATCTGTGTTACACTGTGTCTGGCACAAATCCAAGCGCTGCGTTGCTCACAGGGAGCGCGCACAGGCAATGGATGCAGGGGTAACGTTTAGAAACATCCCCCTGCATCGGCAATGCTCCCATTCGGCCGTTTAATGGCAATGGGCCCGATGGGAAGAGGTTAAAATAACATTGAGGTCTCAGGTAACCTCTGACAATAATTACTAAATCTACAGCTCATGGTACATTAGTATGACGGTCACTGGATAGAATGCTCCTTACATTTGTTTTCAGTTAGACCAGGGGTCTCCAAACTTTCTACACAAAGAGCCAGTTTACTGTCCTTCAGATATTAGGGGGGCTGGACTGTGGCCAATGTGGAACAGAAAATGCCCCAGAGTCAATGTAAATAATGCCTCAGGTTTGGTGGTCAGTGGGAATAAAAAAATTACATAGCGCCTGTGGACAATAGGAGGAGAAATAGAGTACCATAACTGATATTGGTGGGAGGAATGGTGCTCCATCATTGGTGTTAATGGGAGGAAAAGTACCCCATCACTCGTATTAGGAAGAATCAAGTCATATTTTGGTGTCAGTGGGAGGAATTATACCCCATTGTTGGTGTCAGTGGAGGATTGTTGCCTCATCGTTGGTTGTCAATAAGAAGAACCTCATATTGGTGAGAGGAATAGTGCCACAAGAGCTGGATAAAGGCAAGAAAAGTGCTGCATCCGACCTTAAGGTCGCAGTTTGGAGACCCTACTTATCCCAACTTACAGATATCTAAAAAGATCATTTGTGTCAGTGATTACTTATCTAAGAGGGGAAAGTTACTTATTTCCAAAGGAACCCCTAGTAGCCTGCCTGCTTATCTATTTAAGGCGACACCTAAAAGCTGCTTGCTCTGGGGGCACCCAGAAGGGGGGAGGAACCAGGAGCTGGGGACCCGAGAAGAGGAGGATAGGGCTGCTCTGTGCAAAACCATTGCACAGAGCAGGTAAGTATGACATATTTGTTATTTAAAAACAAAACCTGAACCTTTAGTATCACCTAAAATACAGTCAGGTCCATAAATATTGGGACATCGACACAATTCTAACATTTTTGGCTCTATACACCACCACAATGGATTTGAAATTAAACGAACAAGATGTGCTTTAACTGCAGACTGTCCGCTGTAATTTGAGGGTATTTACATTCAAATAAGGTGAACGGTGTAGGAATTACAACAGTTTGCATATGTGCCTCCCACTTGTTAAGGGACCAAAAGTAATGGGACAGAATAATAATCATAAATCAATCTTTCACTTTTTAATACTTGGTTGTAAATCCTTTGCAGTCAATTACAGCCTGAAGTCTGGAACGCATAGACATCACCAGACGCTGGGTTTCATCCCTGGTGATGCTCTGCCAGGCCTCTACTGCAACTGTCTTCAGTTCCTACTTGTTCTTGGGGCATTTTTCCTTCAGTTTTGTCTTCAGCAAGTGAAATGCATGCTCAATCGGATTCAGGTCAGGTGATTGACTTGGCCATTGCATAACATTCCACTTCTTTCCCTTAGAAAACTCTTTGGTTGCTTTTGCAGTATGCTTTGGGTCATTGTCCATCTTCACTGTGAAGTGGTGTCCAATGAGTTCTGAAGCATTTGGCTGAATATGAGCAGATATTGCCCGAAAAACTTCAGAATTCATCCTGCTGCTTTTGTCAGCAGTCACATCATCAATAAATACAAGAGAACCAGTTCCATTGGCAGCCATACATGCCCACGCCATGACACTACCACCACCATGCTTCACTGATGAGGTGGTATGCTTAGGATCATGAGCAGTTCCTTTCCTTCTCCATACTCTTCTCTTCCCATCACTCTGGTACAAGTTGATCTTGGTCTCATCTGTCCATAGGATGTTGTTCCAGAACTGTGAAGGCTTTTTTAGATGTCATTTAGCAAACTCTAATCTGGCCTTCCTGTTTTTGAGGTTCACCAATGGCTTACATCTTGTGGTGAACCCTCTGTATTCACTTTGGTGAAGTCTTCTCTTGATTGTTGACTTTGACACACATACACCTACCTCCTGGAGAGTGTTCTTGATCTGGCCAACTGTTGTGAAGGGTGTTTTCTTCACCAGGGAAAGAATTCTTTGTTCATCCACCACAGTTGTTTTCCGTGGTCTTCCGGGTCTTTTGGTGTTGCTGAGCTCACCGGTGCGTTCCTTCTTTTTAAGAATGTTCCAAACAGTTGTTTTGGCCACGCCTAATGTTTTTGCTATCTCTCTGATGGGTTTGTTTTGTTTTTTCAGCCTAATGATGGCTTGCTTCACTGATAGTGACAGCTCTTTGAATCTTATCTTGAGAGCTGACATCAATAGATTCCAAATGCAAATAGCACACTTGAAATGAACTCTGGACCTTTTATCTGCTCATTGTAATTGGGATAATGAGGGAATAACACACACCTAGCCATGGAACAGCTGAGAAACCAATTGTCCCATTACTTTTGGTTCCTTAACAAGTGGGAGGCACATATGCAAACTGTTGTAATTCCTACATCGTTCACCTGATTTGGATGTAAATACCCTCAAATTAAAGCTGACAGTCTGCAGTTAAAGCACATCTTGTTTGTTTAATTTCAAATCCATTGTGGTGGTGTATAGAGCCAAAAATGTTAGAATTGTGTCGACGTCCCAATATTTATGGACCTGACTGTAAATGTTTCTATACTGAGTAAACTACACAAGCACCATTCAGTATTCTACGCCCCGCCCCCCCTTTACTGGCTGTGATTGACAGCAGCAGGAGCCAATGGCTCAGCTGCTGTGTCTCAGCCAATGAGGAGTGAGAGACTCAGGAGAGCCGCTGTTGTATACGTCACTGGATCAGGATCAGGTTAAGGTAATCAAGGTAAAGGGGGCTGAGGGGGGAGGTGCACACTGAACGTTTTTTTTACTTTCACCTACTTTCATCTCATTCATCGGCTTTTAGAACCACTTTAATCTTCTTAACAATCATTGATTACACTTACAGATTATTTGCTAGTGATTTTAGTTGTGCACATGAGCTACTAAAAATGACCTATACAGCTGTAACCTTCAAAACATTGGAAACCTTCCTACCTGCACCTTGTGCTTTTCACCTATATAAGATGTACAAGGGTTGAACAAAATTATAGAAACATCAGGTAAAAGAACACAATCGTTACCAAATGTGGTGTTGGACCTCCTTTAGCATCCATGACGGTCTGAATTCTCCTGGGAATTGACAAATATAAGTCTTGGATAGTGGATAATGGAATCAGATACCACTCTTCATGCAAAAATCGTTCCAATTCTTGCAGAGATGCCGGAGGCAGAAAACAAACCTGAACCTTGTTCTACAAAATTTACCATAGTGGCTCTATGATATTGAGATCCGGTGAATGCGGCAGCCAGGGAAAGTACGAGACTTGCTCATCAAACCACAATTGGACAACACCAGCTTTGTGAATAAGAGCATTATTGTCTTAATAAATGGCGCTGTCTTCATGAAACAATGTCTGCACCATGAGGTGCACATGGTCTGCCAAAATTTGTACATAGTCACTGCCAGTGACTTTACTTTTCAAGGTGATGATGGGGCCTGCAGAAAACCAAAATATGGCTACCCAAACCGTGATTGTGAGATCACCATGCTTTACAGTTGGCACAAGACAGTCCTGGTTGTAAGCTTGGAATGGTGTTTGCCACATGTAAACATATGTTCACAGTGTGAAGCTCGATTCATCAGACCATATTGCAGCTCACCTGTGAATGTTTTGCTTATGGAGTTCCCTCTTCACAGTTTTCGTGGATATGGGCTTTAGAAGATTGAGATTGAGCTCTGCAGTCACTTTTGCAGCAGTTGTTTTCCTATTCCAGGTCACAATCCTACGCAATGTCCTTTTGTATCTTTCAACCAGTTGACCACGTTGACTGCGCTTATGCTTATCAGACGTTGTTTTCCCCCAAAAAACTGTATAACCTTTGATACTGTACCTTGCAACACTGCAATAAAATTGGCAAATTCCGTCATAGAGGCAGCTAAGCAGGCACCAATAATTTATCCTCTTTGAAGCTCATTAAGCTCTGACATGTACTACTAGCAGCGCATGCAGCGAATGACAAAAGTAAGGCTTCCCATCTGTTAGCTAGGGGTCTCATCACACAGCGAAAGCAAAGAATGTTACATCACTTTCCGCTTTCAACGCAAACATGTTGTCACTTTCACACCTGCAAATCATGTAGTGTTTCCTTATTTTTGTCCAATCCCTGTGCATTGATCATGTAGTTTCATGGTGACATTTGATGGCCTGTACTCACAGCCTATAGTAGAGTAAATCTTCACATTTCAGGAGCTGTTCAGCATTTTTTTCAGCAGCCCCTGAACTCTCCCTAATGTTTTCATATGTATCCATGTACACATAGTCATTACATAGTTAGTCATTTACAGGCAGTTGACTTTACAGTTGTTTGTTCGAAAGCACCAAACTTGCATTCTGGAGTAGATTTTACCGGCGTTTCAAACACCAAATGCTTGTAAAAGCACGTAAACGTGGTTAACAACGTTTATAAGTATTTGCGTTTAGAAGCGTTTTTTTAACTGTTCCACGTCCAGATGCTGTCCAGAGCCTTTTTTCATCATCAGAAATGCATACAAAGCGTTTTCCATTATTCAAATAGACCCGGTACACCATCGCAGTCAGTTCCAGGTTTTGCGTGAAGGAAAAAATGGTAGAATGTGCTGCATTATGGTCATGATGGGATCCATAATGAGACAACCAGAAAAGACAGGTCATCTCAACACATACTGATCTCTCTGCTTCTGCTCTCTCTATTCCTTTCAAAATGTCTGAAATAGTTAATTTTTTACTATTTTTCAGTGCATTCTGGGCATTTTAGAAGGTCTCCTGAAGTTATCTTTTAAAAACGCTTCTAAACGCAAACACACATAAACACACATAAACACGGTATGCAAATGCGGCTAAATTGACGTTTTTTAACCTACGTTTTCCAGCAGTCAGTTTCCATCGTTCAGAAGAGTTTTCCAAATGCCCCGTGTACATGAGCCCTTAGCAGTTTTTGCTTGTGTTCAAACCTGGGACATCACACGGCACTGCACAGGTTAATGCATGACCTCTGTCTGTAGTTTAAGAGCTGACACTTCCTGTAAAGAAACTATATATCCCACAATCCCTGGGTCTCTCAGTCTAGTGCTTGTGCAGGTGAGAGCTACATAGTAATTAGGTCTGACACAGATCTAATTAATATGTAAGGCAAAGCAAATAAGGGAAGACATATGTTTTATCACATTAGTACTCCTACATTTATGTTGCAATACAGTGGAAATGGCAAGGCAAAGAATTGATGTTGCGTGATCCGGAACAAGAAGTTTCCCGTCTCTTTAGTGAACAGGGACAAGCTCACTGAATGAATACATGGACATAGGGGAATTGATCAGCCATGGCACTGAAAACTGCAGCCACAATATGTAGTATTATTATTAATATACAGGATTTATATAGCGTCAACAGTTTGCTCAGCGCTTTACAATATAACGGGAGACAATACAGTAACAATACAGTTCAATAAAAGAGGGATAGGAGGGCCCTGCTCCTTGGAGCTTACATACATAGTTACTTAGTTATCTGGCTGAAAAAGACAAGCCCATCATTACAAGGCAAAGCAAATATGCAAACGGAGTATAATGACACTAATAACCTTGTTAAAGCAACAAAAACATTTGAAAGTGTACAATGCCTTTATGGACCATTTGTTCTGCCCACTAATGCTGCATGATATAATGACCACACTTATGGTAAATAAAAATATAAGAAAATATATGATACAGTCAGGATAATAGCATGTCTAAGCAGATGAGGTCTACTACTAAAATTATTGCATAAATAATACAGGGCAGACACAATGGGCTACATGACAAAATGAAAGTGAGAATCGTGCTGCTTCTTAGTGCAATGCAAACAGCCCTGCAGACACTTTATAAGCAGTTAAATGTGAACCTTTTGGCCTGCTATCAAAGCATTGATGTTCAGAGTCAGATGCTCAGTGCTTAGCCAACTGATTTCACTGCAGAGAGCTTCAGCTTTTCCCAGACCTGATAATCTATTGATAACATTATGAACTAAGCACAGGGGAAATGCCGTGTCATTATATCCCATTTATAAATATAGCCGGAAAAAAAAAAAAAAAAGATTGTGAATCCTTTTGCAATTACCTGGATTTTTGCATGAATCACTCCTAACGTGGTCTGATCTTTAGCTGAGACACCATAATAGGTAAAATGAATCTATCTAAAGCAAGAACATGCAAACAGTTGTATTTTCTCAAGCATTCACTCAGCAGACTTGCTCCTTTCAATATACTGTTGCAAGTGTTTTGTTATATCTTTTTGATAGGTGTAATAGCTGTTGATCCTGCTATAGATCTTGTTTAGCTCTACACCCATAGGAGCTGCTGAATTTAACTGTTTCTTTCCCAAAACAGTACCCAGGCCACCATTCACACAGGGAACAGTCCATTCACTCTGGCTCCATTAAACAGTTTAGGGGATGTCTTTTTAAGATTTATTGCTTGTAGTACTTAAAGTGTTACTAAACCCACCACCACAAAATCAGTCTGTATATGCAGTAAAACAGGGGTCTCCAAACTGTGGCCCGCGGGCCAGATGTGGCCCTTTGCTTGCTTTTATCCGGCCCTTGGGGTACTTTTCCTTCCACTGATATGAAAAACTATTCCTTCCATTGACACCAAAGATGGGACACTATTCCTCTCACTACCACCAATGATGGGGCACTATTCCTCCCACTGACACCAATGATGGGGCACTATTCCTTCCACTGACAGCAATGACGGAGCGCTATTCCTCTCACTGACACCAACGATGAGGCGCTATTCCTCCCACTGACACCAATGATGGGGCACTATTCCTTCCACTGACACCAATGATGGAGCGTTATTCCTCCCACTGACACCAATGATGGAGCGCTATTCCTCCCACTGACACCAACGATGAGGCGCTATTCCTCCCACTGACACCAATGATGGGGCACTATTCCTCCCACTGACACCAATGATGGAGCACTATTCATCCCACTGACACCAATGATGGGGCACTATTCCTTCCACTGACACCAATGATGGAGCGCTATTCCTCCCACTGACACCAACGATGAGGCGCTATTCCTCCCACTGACACCAATGATGGGGCACTATTCCTTCCACTGACACCAATGATGGAGCACTATTCATCCCACTGACACCAATGATGCGGCACTATTCCTCCCACTTACACCAATGATGGAGCACTATTCCTCCCACTGACACCAACGATTAGGGCGCTATTCCTCCCACTGACACCAATGATTGAACGCTATTCCTCCCACTGACACCAACGATGGGACACTATTCCTCCCACTGCCACCAATGATGGGGCACTATTCCTCCCACTGATACCAATGATGGGGCACTATTCCTCCCCCTGACACCAATGATGGAGCGCTATTCCTGTCACTGACACCAACGATGAGACGCTATTCCTCTGACACCAATGATGGAGCGCTATTCCTGCCACTGACACCAACGATGAGATGCTATTCCTCTAACTGACACCAATGATGGGGCACAATTCCTCCCACTCACACCAATGATGGAGAACTATTCCTCCCACTGACACCAACGATGTGGCGCTATTCCTTCCACTGACACCAACGATTGAACGCTATTCCTCCCACTGACACCAATGATGGGGCACTGTTCCTCCCACTGACCCCAATGACGGGGCACTGTTCCTCCCACTAACCCCAACAATGGGGCACAGTTCCTCCTAGAAACCCCAATGACGGGGCACAGTTCCTCCTAGAAACCCCAATGATGGGGCACTGTTCCTCCCACTCATCCCAACGTCGGGGCACTGTTCCTCCCACAGACACCAGCAACAAGGCACTGTTCCTCCCACTGACATCAGCGACGGGGCACTGTTCCTCCCACTGACACCAGCGACAGGGCACTGTTCCTTCCTCTGATACAAAGAATGGGGAACTAATTATCCCACTGATACCAATGATGGGGCACTGTTCCTCCCACTGACCACCAAGCCTGGGGTATTGTTTACTCCCACTGATGCCCGGGCATTTTCTACTCCCACTGGCCACAATCTGGCCCCCATAAAGTTTGAAGGGCAGTAAACTGACCCTTTATTTCAAAAGTTTGGAGACCCCTGCAGTAAAGAATGCTTGTTATACTCACTGTATGGGTGAGCCTCAAGGGGCATACAATCTAAGGTCCCTAACTTACATTCATACATACATATACTAGGGCCAATTTAGACAGGAGACAACTCACCTACCAGCATGTCTTTGGAGTTTGAAAGGAAACTGGAATACCCGGAGAAAACCCATGCAGGCACAGGTAGAAAATGAATGCATCTAAGGACTGTTAGGCAGCAACACATCACATTTTTGTTCTTGGGTCTAGATAAGTGTAAACATCTATATGTGAAAACATATGTAAGCTTAACCATGTTATCTCGAGGTAGGAAAACCTAAGCAAGCCCTTACATTTAGTGATCAGTACCCTAATATAACAGCAATATTTCATATATGTTGACCAGATGTCCACACTGGTCTACAGGAATTTTAAACTAGTCCTCCTTACAACACAGTTCATTGGTATTCCTGGGATTCCTTGCATGGACAGTTCTCTTTAGGTCATGTCATAAAATCTCAGTTGGGATGAGGTCTAGATTCTTTCCGGGAATAGTTTTCTTTTGTTTGAAAAGACTTTGTTTCAATTAAAAAAAAAAAAATCTTCCACAACAGCCTGAGCATACTTGCAGCAGCCTCTAAGGCCTTTTACATTATTGCCAAACTCATTGAAATTCTGACAGGCAAAATGTAGACACTTCCAGGTAGTGTAGTTACTTCCCGCTTCCTACACATTCCTCCAGGCACATCACTATGATGTCTCAATGGTCAATCAAGGAAGAGCTTCATCACTATCAGAAGGTCTGAAGCTTTACCTGTCTAAATGGGTAAGAAATTGTTCATAACACTTTGGAAACTGTAACACGTGGAAACTGCTGCACTGTATATGAGCAGCCATTTTTTTGGGGGGGGTGTTACAATGTTTTTTAGCTTTTTTGCTATTTTACTGCTATGTTTGAGATTATTGATACAATTTTGCAATTGTTTTCCCCTATTCAGAGCCTATTACGAGTCCTGGAGAATTGCCCTTATTTGCATTTTTATAATGTGTCCACATGTTGCATTTAGGCTAGCATAGTAACACTCAATGTCTTACTGTGCAGGCTACTGCCACTGTTGACTTTCTTCAACTTTATTTAAATGCGCTGTACATCTTACCAGCATTACGGTGTGGGCAGAATACATACAAAACAATTGTTTTCTATGTGTCCTAGCAGTGTCCTGAGTTTATCTGATGCATAAAAATGCAGGTATAAACAAGCCCTAAGCCCTGGTTCACATATATGCGGCTGTGCGGGCCGCGTTTTGCATGGGCACGAGAGCCCATTCATTTGAATGGACTCCCGTGCCCCGTAGGGAAGAAGTCCCTGCACTTCTTTGGAAACCGCAGCCCGCACGGGAACCTCGGTCTCAGTACGGTTGCGTTTTTCAGTGCACGCGGTGTGCCATTAGAACTAATGGCACCCACCCGCGGGTCCGCCTCTCTATGTGCGGGTGGTGCGTCTGTACGGATTTTCCTGCGGATCCGCAGTGGCACCACCAGCACAGATGTGAACCTAGCCTAAGGCAGCACTACCAAATAAATGGGTTGACACAGCGATGAAGTGGCTAGCACTTCTGCTTCGCAGCACTAGGGTCGTCAGTTCAAGTCCCAACAACAGCATTACCTGTCTGAAGTTTTTTTTAACACACTTTGACATCTAGGCAGCAACAAATCATGATGTTTCCACCACATGGCTTTATGGTTGGGATAAGCCTTTGGTGTGTGGTGCTTTTTGCGTTGACCACTTGTCATTTCCATCCACAGAAGAAGTGTTGTAGAACATCTACTGCAAACTTGGTGGACAATGGTCCCTTTTGTGGTGCCTTCTCAAGATCACTATTCTTGTCCAGGGTTTTTTTCTTTATAGTAGACAGATCGGCAAGTTCAGCCGATTGGGAGGTAATGGTTGCCACTTGCTCACTCTTAGGGTATTGTACTCCTACTATCTGTAGACAAATCATCCACTCTGGATTGGTAAGCAATGAGTATTTTAAAAATGCATTTGTAGCTGTTTCCAGCTTTAATCATCTTTTCAATTTTTCTTTTTAAGTCTACTTAACAGATGTTTCTTGTGAAGAAATACTTGAGCCGAGTTACCCTTATACGTTGAAATTATTCTAGAAGTTTACATACTTTTGAAGCAAGAAGTTTAGAATAATTGTTCATTAAAGATAAGACAATGTAAATGTGTGTGTTGTCTGTTAAATGGCCCTTTCAGTAACGTTAAAAATCTGCATGAAAAGATTACTGACATATTTCATTATACAACAGTATTTTTTTTTCATAAAAACAACACATTTTAGCATTAAAAAGCCATCCTTGAGCTTCAGTCAAGTGATTTAGCCTTGGCTGAGATGATGTAATCAATCTGTTACAGGCAGGAGACCTCGGTCTTCTCCACCCCATGTGATCAGATAGCAGCATTGTAATTTTGCAGCATGTCACACGTGTGAGAGGCTGAAAGAGGGGGCTGATGAGTGTCAGACATTTGTTAACACAGCCAAGAGCTGGATCAGCACATGGCTGAGTATTTATTACACCCACACATTACCCATCATGTATGCACTTAACGTGAAAAAAAAGTATCTGATTCTAGCTACACTTTAAAGCCCAACACCAGGAAACCTGTAATTTATGCCCTATAGTGGGGCTGCACGTGCACTGCAAGGAGTTAATTGCTTGTTTAGGTCTACGGGATTTGTTAAAGAAGATTTACTTACTTGATCCTCTGTGCTGCTAGACCAATCCCCACATCATCTTCTCCTCTACATGCAAACAGTGTAAGACCCTAACATCATCAAGACAAATGCAGGGTCCATAGCCCTGCACTGGATGTAACGACACTGGAGGACAGTCCAATGCAAACACATGGGGGAGTGTCATCTGCCAGGGTGTGGAGGATCAGGTAAGTAAAGATGCTTCTCTCCCCCAGACTAAACGAGCATATAACCCCACGGCAAGGGATAATTTTAAAATTTTCTGTATTGAGACTGAAGATTTATTACTTTCATGTATTCTAACATACAGTGGGGCAAAAAAGTATTTAGTCAGCCACCAATTGTGCAAGTTCTCCCACTTAAAAAGATGAGAGAGGCCTGTAATTGGCATCATAGGTAGACCTCAAATATGAGAGACAAAATGAGAAAAAAAATCCAGACAATCACATTGGCTGATTTTGGATAAGAATTTATTTGCAAATTATGGTGGAAAATAAGTATTTGGTCACCTACAAACAAGCAAGATTTCTGGCTCTCACAGACCTGTACCTTCTTCTTTAAGAGCTCCTCTGTCCTGCACTCATTACCTGTATCAATGGCACCTGTTGGAACTTGTTACCAGTATAAAAGACACTTGTCCACAACCTCAAACAGTCACACTCCAAACTCCGCTATGGTGAAGACCAAAGAGCTGTCGAAGGACTCCAGAAACAAAATTGTAGACCTGCACCAAGCTGGGAAGACTGAATCTGCAATAGGCAAGCAGCTTGGTGTGAAAAATCAACTGTGGGAGCAATAATTAGAAAATGGAAGACATACAAGACCACTGATAATCTCCCCTCGATCTGGGGCTCCACTCAAGATCTCACCCCTGGGGTCAAAATGATCACAAGAATGGTGAGCAAAAATCCCAGGACCACACGGGGGGACCTAGTGAATGACCTGCAGAAAACTGGGACCAACATAACAAAGGCTACCATCAGTAACACACTACGCCGCCAGGGACTCAGATCCTGCAGTGCCAGACATGTCCCCCTGCTTAAGCCAGTACATGTCCGGGCCCATCTGAAGTTTGCTAGAGAGCATTTGGATGATCCAGAAGAGGATTGGGAGAATGTCATATGGTCAGATAAAACCAAAATAGAACTGTTTGGTAGAAACACAACTTGTCGTGTTTGGAGGAGAGAGAATGCTGAGTTGCATGCAATGAACACCATACCTACTGTGAAGCATAGGGGTGGCAACATCATGCTTTGGGACTGTTTCTCTGCAAAGGGACCAGGATGACTGATCCATGTACAGGACAGAATGAATGGGGCCATGTATCATGAGATTTTGAGCGCAAACCTCCTTCCATCAGCAAGGGCATTGAAGATGAAATGTGGCTGGGTCTTCCAACATGACAATGATCCCAAACATACCATCCGGGCAACGAAGGAGTGGCTTCGTAAGAAGCATTTCAAGGTAATGGAGTGGCCTAGCCAGTCTCCAGATCTCAACCCCAAAGAAAATCTTTGGAGGGAGTTGAAAGTCCGTGTTGCCCAGTGACAGCCCCAAAACATCACTGCTCTAGAGGAGATTTGCATGGAGGAATGGGCCAACATACCAGCAACAGTGTGTGCCAACCTTGTGAAGACTTACAGGAAACGTTTGACCTCTGTCATTGCCAACAAAGGATATATAACAAAGTATTGAGATGAACTTTTGATATTGACCAAATACTTATTTTCCACCATAATTTGCAAATAAATTCTTTCCAAATCAGCCAATGTGATTGTCTGGATTTTTTTTCTCATTTTGTCTCTCATAGTTGAGGTCTACCTATGATGCCAATTACAGGCCTCTGTCACCTTTTTAAGTGGGAGAACTTGCACAATTGGTGGCTGACTAAATACTTTTTTGCCCCACTGTACATGAAGGCAAAAAACCTTTTGTGTGCTCCTCCCCCCACAGCCCCCCTAATACTTACCTGTGCCCCATCTCGATCCATCTCAAGCAAGCTGCTTACTCTGGGGGCACTCAGTAGGGGAGAAGGACCAGGAGCGGCTGTGGGGGACCTGAGAAGAGGAGGATCGGGGCTGCCTTGTGCAAATCCATTGCACAGAACAGGTAATTATAACATGTTTGTTATTAAAAAAAAACAAAAGAGCCTTTAGTGTTACTTTAACAGCTTGCCTGCCGCCCTATTGCAGAAATTCTGCTACAGGGCTGTGCAAAATCATGAATATATATGTGATTTTGCATTACCAGATAGGGGACACGTGCATGCCGTGCGCGTCCTACCCGCACTGCCATTGGCGGCCTCAGCTGTCGATCACCGGGTCCCGGTCAGTGATTCCCCACCGGCACCTGGCGATCGCCGAGTATCACTGATGGGGGAGAGGTCTGTATGTAAATAAGACAGATCTCTCCTCTGTAAGCTCCTGCACACTGCTTTGTATTGCTCTGCATAGCAGAGCAATACCAAGCAATGTGCTGACACAGTAAAACACACACAGAGCACACAGTAAAACAGCACACAGCACAGTTAACCCTTTGATCACGCCAGATGTTAACCCCTTCCTGCTCGGTGTCATTAGTACAGTGTCAGTGCTTTTTTCAGCACTGATCACTGTATTAGTGTCACTGGGGATGTCAGTGACAGTTAGTCAGAATGCCCGCCGCAGTCCTGCTATAAGTCGCTGATCATCGCCATTACTAGTATAAAAATAAAAATTCCAGTATATATACTGCCATTTTTAGACGCTATAACTTTCAGATAAAAACCTGTTAATTTACACGTATTGGGATTTTTTCTTAGCAAAGACATGTAGCACAATACATTTTGGCCTAAATGTATGACAAAATTTGATTTTTTACATTTTTTTACTGGACATGTTTATTAACAAAAAGTCAAAAATATTGTTTTTTTTCTCAAAATTGTTGGTCATTTTTGCTTATAGCGCAAAAAAATAAAAAACATAGAGGCGATCAAATACCATCAAAATAAATCTCTATTTGTGGGGAAAAAAGGGACATACATTTCATTTGGGTGCAGCATTGCATGACCGTGCAGTTGTCAGTTAAAGTAATGCAGCGCCATATCACAAAAAATGGCCTATTCAGGAAGGGGGGTAAATCCTCTGGAGAGCAAGTGGTTAAGTAAAACTGTCTTTATTTATTAGTATGGCTTAAAAATTGATGAGGACATTTTAAGAGCCATTCACATAAACTCTAGGTATTTCCTAAAGTATTACTTACATTTTCTTTTGTTTGTATGAATTGTTGTAAAATTTACACTTAACCGTGGCTACACTTGAGGTGACTGCCAAAATTCCATCTGAATTGCATAATTGCTTTTTGGACGTTATGATTATATTGTAAATTTAGCATTTTATGTGAAGTTGGTTACAAAGCAGTCAAAGCCAGGAAAAAACAAGTATAATATACGCCAATTTAAAGATCAACATGTTACCCAATTCAGAGATGTAATCAGATATTTAGCCATTCCCCAGGTACAGACTACCACACGTATAAACTGGTCTTTGCTAATTCTTTGCCTTGACTGAGTGTCTATCACATTCTTAAGTGTCCTCAATGGGAACATTCAATGCTGTTTGCAGCTACCAATCAGAGTCAGATTGCCACTGACATATGAAAGGCTGGATGTCATTTGTAGCTGTAGGCAACATAGACAGTCCTTCCAGAATAAGGGCAAATGTTAGGCAGACCTTTGTTGAAGACCTAGAGAAGTACCCTTTTCAGGTGACCCCTATGCACTGATGACATTATCTCAAGTGTAGTTTATGTGCTTATAAATGTCCTTCTGGGGGTCTTTTATCTATATTTCGTAAATTGAAATGATATTTCTGAGGAACAACTAATCAATAGTAAACACAAGTAACTCTTGATGTGTACAATGCTGAAAACCAGCAGAAAGACTGGCACAACAGACAGCGCTAATCACTGGCTATTCTAGTTAGAGAGATAGAATATTGGTGGATGTCACCACTGCAGGCCTTAGAAAGGTGTTTGCGGCATTTCATCTATTACTCACAATGCAAATGTACCTATAGCCTGCTTTTCATTAAAAACACATTACACAGAGTTTGTAAATCATTTTTATATAATACATAGCAATATCTAAGTTGCTGTTACCTTGATGAGTCGTTTACAAGGACACTGACTGGCCACGACAAACAGATTTTGAGTGTTTTGATCTTCCAATGCCCAATCATGTACTCTGAAATAAAAAAAGGGATGTGATATAGTTATAGTTGCATCATCATCATCATCCTCATCATCATCATTCTGTTCTGTCTGTTAATCAAACTGCAGATTATGGAGGCAACAAGATAAGACTTTCTTTCACATGTAGCACCCTCCTAGTTACACTAAGTGTAGCTAGATCCCTAATGGTTAGACAGGAGCTGAATAGCAGCTCAGGTGCCAGAGGGGTCAAATTCTTGTCAAGGCCGAAAAACTCTGCAGGCCAGCCCCTCTGAATTTTCCCCCTACTCTGAGGCTTTTGGAAGAGGGTCTTGGAGGCAGTGGCGGGGATCTGAGGAGTGGTAGGCTACACCTTTGAGGGGAAGGCTGCCAGGAGGCCTGCTGGAATGGGGCCTGCCTTCGAGCCTGGAGCTGGACAGGAGGAAACCTTAGGACTCACTGATTTCTTGAGAGAAGACCACCTATGTGGCAAGGAAGGAGCAGCCCAGCTGATAGGCCTGGTAGCAGCAGCTATTCCACAAGCAGTACACCTACATACCCTGGGTGGATTAGGGAAAGAGCACTCTGGTGGGAAACCAGATTAGCCCTCTGCTACTAACTTTGTACCTTACTTAAGGAAGCAGGAGCCAGATCTCCTACTCAGGAAGAACACCTTCAGATTGCTTTGTGAAGAGGAGTCATCTAGAGTCTGAGGTAGTACAACTGGAGCTGCTGGCTAGCACTCCAACAGAGACTGTGTTAGAGAAAGGAAGCTGTGAATAGTTTAGGAAGTTGTCCTCAGATTTCATTTACCTTGGGCATCCTATACATCCCTAAACCATATCCAAGTTTAATCCCCTCAATAAAACAACAAAACCAACCCTCAAAGCCTGATTTCTGTCTGTGGATGAAAGCTGTGTGGAAAATGCTAACTGACTGGCTGTGTAGGGCTATAGGAGGACCCAAATTCATCAGCAATACCTAAAGGAGTAGTGCTACACACTTAACCACTTCTTGTCTGGACACTTTTACCCCCTTCCTGTCCATGGCAATTTTTAGCTTTCAGCGCTATCACACTTTGAATGACAGGTGCGCGGTCATGCAACACTGTACCCATATTAATTTTTTACCATTTTTTTTAGACAGATAAAGCTTTATTTTGGTGGTATTTATTCACCACTGGGATTTTTATTTTTTTTGCTATGTAAATGAAAATGTCCAAAAAATTTTTTAAAAAGTGTTTTTCTTATACAATTTTGCAAATAAATAATCTTTCATCATAAATCTTGACCAAAAATTATTCCGTTATATTTTTAGTAAAAAAAAAATAAGCCAAATTAGTTTATAACCAAAAATTATAATTTTTAAACATTTTTTTTACATTTTCATTTTATTTTTTTATATATTATTTGTTTTTTTGTTTTTTTTTACATACTGTCACCCTAGCAGTACAGTGTCACCATGGTGACACTGTACTACTTGTGGGGGTGATGAAAGTTTTTTTTTTTTTTTTTTTTTTTTTTTTTACAGTGATTGCTTTTACACCCATATAGGATGTAAAAGCAATAATTTCTCTTTCTGTCTGCATTCTTGCAGCCATTGAGAAATACTGAGTGAGCTGTGATTGGTCACACCTTGTCACATGGTACAAGGCTGTTGTGAATAGCCTTGTACCATGTGACCTCTGTGATCATTCACAGATTTCACACGTAGTAAGCAATGATGTCACAAGTGACATCTTGCTTACTACTTTGCATGTGATCCATGATAGGCATATCAGTTATCACATGATCGGGACCTCTTACAGAGGTCCCGTCCGACGATCGGTGTTTCACTGTGTCCGGAGGACACAGCGGGCACCGGATCGCGGTGCTGCGCGCTCCCAAGGAGCGCACACAGCTGGAAAAGGCGGGTGCCGTTTATGAACGGCAACCCGCCCCTGGAGTGCCACCGCCCTGCCGTTTATAAACAGCAGGCGGACGGCAAGAGGTTAAAGTGGAAGAAAAGTCTAACTATAACTATTCTTAACAATGTTCTCGCTCCTCCTACCTATCCTGCCTAACCTGCATAAAAAAATCTGTGTGCTTACCTATTTTTAATCGGCTCTGGTCACATAATTCTGCAGCTCCAGCTCCCCTATGTCAGTGAGCAGTTGCTACAGGGGAGAGGAGGAAGTGCCAACAACAGATGGGACATGGGAGCCCAGGGGGGATGTCACGGCCCATGGAATTCACAGCCATTGCTTAGTGCTCTCTTACACAGAACTGCAGGATCTTGTGGCCAGACCAGAGGGGTCTGAAAATAGGTAATTAGACAAATCTTGTTTATACATGTTAGTAAGGAAGGTAGGCAGGAACATATTTAGGAATAGGTGTAGCACTACCCCCTTAGCAGTCGCACAGTTTTGGGTCACCCTACAGTTCTGCACAGCCAGGCAACACGCATTTTCTTCCAAACTTGCAGTCTGGAGACAGTAAACAGTCCCTGAGCTTATTTTTGTGATTTTATTAAGGGGTATTGAACTTGGATGGGATTGAGGGGTATATGGGATGCCCAAGTAACTGTGAACATGAGGACAAATCTCCTTAGCAACTATGTAAAAGTTCATGACAAGCAGCCTATCCTTGAAGAGCTCTCCAGCCCTTCTGGTGTACCTCCTCAGACCCAAGATGAAGCCCCCTCATCGCCCAGCTGCCCGAGGAAATCCCTGGGCAAGGGGATCCAAAAACCGCCATTTGATAAAGCAGCCCCAGATGAGGAGCAAGTGGGGTTTGCCACTTGACTGCCCTCTCCCCTTGTCTGGCCATGGGATGCAGGATTAATCACTCAGTCCTCTCCTGTAAGCTTCCTTCCCTGCTTTCTAGGCTGTCCTCTCTCAGGGGACAGTTGAGGCTGAGAGATCCTACTTCCCAGCTCCCACCTGCAGGTAGCCCCCTCCCTTGGACCCTTCCCAGGCTCCACACTCCAGCCCTCTCTCATCATCTTCCACCTGACACTGACTCCATCTGCTGATCAGGTTATCTCATATTTAAGGGTTGTCCTGGGCCCCTGGCCCCATGCCAAGCCTCCTGCTTGGGGACTAGCCAAGATCTCTCAAGTATGCAGATCAGTCCCTCCTCACCCCCACCAACTGCCTTCTAGAAACTTCTCAGATTTGTAGAGCAGGGGGAGGTATCAGGGAACTGATTCACAGGCCGGTGGATGAAGGGAGTTGATTTCTATCCTGTTCTTTATGGGGGACAGCCATTAACA